TGTGTGTGTGTGTGTGTGTGTGTGTGTGTGTGTGTGTGAAATAGCACATACACTGAAATACTTAATTACATTGAAAAAGACGTATAACATGCATATATTATCTAATATTATATCTACCAATGCGTATACACATAAATAGCGTAATCATAATATAAAATCAAATTTTGACAATATGTTCGGATATAATGTGTGTAGCATAAAAATGGAGTAAATTAAAGAAATAATATTAAAGTTGCGTCAAATGTGCAGCACAGAACTCTACTTGGCAACAGGAACAAATTGTAAATATCGCAGAAAATACCATGCAAACTTAAGATTTTGATCTATACACCGTAGTTGCGTAATAAAAGAAAAAAAGAAGTAGTGGTTCTGTAGTTGAAAATCATATATATATATACGCACACACTGCGCGTTTTCATTCAGCAAAACTCTCATGTAATTCGTATACTCAGCGAATGGCAATGTATTGACTCGAGAATTGTATATCGGATAGTGTGCGTGTGTCTGTGTAGAGTATCGTAAGTATTAAAAAGGTAATCTTGTTTCACAGCGAAATAAATATCGATGAACATCTGCAAGACGAGGCAAACACTTTTTCTTAAGATACAAAAAGTAGTTTTGAGCAAAAGTTACATATTTTTAGTGATGATAATGAAACTCATCGTCACTGTATTGGCTGAAAGCTCACATTGACATTTAGAAGCGTTATCAATTAGTTTATTTATAAAACATTCCTGTGTACGCGGCTTTGGTCGGCTTTGTAACAGGCTCGGTATACATGTACGATGTTGTTACCGAACGAGGATCGAGAATGAGATGTGTTAAAATACGAATTAGATGTGTAACTCTGTGTATCTGAACATATCTAAACAGTACTGATCTTTCCATTGAATCCACCACTGTGTATGTGTGTTGCATCTACTTCTCCGATTACGAGAACCAAGAGTGTACAGATCTAATGACACAGCGTGTAAAAAGGTAGGAAAACTGGAAGATTTCAACTCACCCCGCATATATAAACACAGAGTAATCCATATCTCATGTATATGTATGTACAAGATTTTCTTTATTCGCGTTTACCACCAAGAAAGAAAAGAAAGACAGCGAAGATTTTCAGGCTCTTTTTATTCGTGAAAATAATTATACCTTGAGAGAGACACGAACTAAAAACGTCTATTACCACATTCAAACTTATTTTAAGAGAGACACATATGCATATGTATACTACAGATCTGCACAGAAGAACCAAACTGTACTATTTAGTGAGAAACCCAATGGAAGAAACTTGTGATAATCTTGGACAAATTTATCGTTACATTTTAGGTCAATTGGAGAAAAAAAATTGCCTTATGACTAACTCTAATCGATGATCGTTTTATAGGACATCAACGCGCGTCTCAGAAAATCTTAACATTTACATTTAATATGCTCACGATTATGCGGTTAATTCAAAAATTCTTTGTGCAACGATTTGTTATTATTGGTGAAATGTGATATTTATATTGTAGAAAGGGACAATATTGAGCATTTACTCGCGTTTCAAGCGAGATTACATAAGTGAGAGATAAAAAGATCTTGGAAAGGCATTTGGCTAATCATAAGCACTTGAGATCTCGATATATAGACCAATATACACACCGTTTACGTTACGTTCACGAATTTGATCAAGTTGTATTATGCTCTCTTATAAAAAAGTGTTACGATGCGGTGGATGAAGTTACGATAGATCGATAACAGCAAAAAAGAGAGAGTGAGAAACGAGTGAGATAAATTTGTCCAGCTTCACAAAATAATACGCTCTATGATACACGAGATGTAAGTGAACGCACGCAAGACAGAGAAAGAGCTACCTGGTCGACTCTGAGTAATTCACGGATGAAATTAGTAATCATCGAGGTCAACGTCATCAAGAGGCTCATCAGCCTGCAGTGACTGGAAATCAACTTTGTAGCGGAGGATTCCTATGTACCAACATATACTCCACGGTTAATATCAGTTCGATTGTCAGGGTCCACTTTTCCGTGCATATTACTCTTCGCCCGTTTATAGCGACACAATGTCTAATTCTTTCAAAATCAACGGCACACCCGCAAAAAGGCGACCTTCATATGTCGTAATTTATCGACGGTTCCACTAGTGCGTGGTATACGCAAATGTGCATTACATATGTCGCACTATATAGTTTAACGTCCAAGCTATTATTCGGGATTATAAATTTGTGTGACATACATTGGTTTTCAAGATGTTTTGAACATTTTTTTCGATGCAGTCTGTAGCACAGCCAATGATCCAATGGGAACTTAACTTCTAGGAACTATATTTAAATACAAGTTCTCTCATTGGCTACGTTCTAAAATACATTGAAAAAAGTGCTCAAACCATTTTGAAAAGAAGCGCACATATAAGTTGGAAAATCTTAATCTTTTGTTTCTGAGCTGATTTTTGGAAATTTAATCTTTTTTTACACTTTTTTCCTGCACCGGTTGAACGTCTTTTCCGTTTATTTACTTATATTAGGTGCTTTACTTATTTCAACTATATATTTAAAATGTAAAATGTTTTATACATATATATATTCAATGATAGACAGAGAGGAAGAGATAGAATTTGCTTTGTGAGACTATAAGCGGTGATAATAAACGTGTACAAGGAGAGCTCACCTCCGATACCGCCGAAACCTCTGACGAACTGGGATCCTTCCTGAGACTTGTCTGTGATAATTTCCAAGGTAGCACCAAAGCTTTTGTAGTTGTTCGCGAGCCACTCGAGCAACGGTTGACACTCCACAAGCTCTAACTCTACCCCGCTCTATCGTAAAAGAAAGATACAACGTCTCGTTTTAAAAAGTGATAGGAAGGAAAAAAGAATCTAATATTAGACTTCCGGTAATATCTCGACGCTCTCACCTCTTTATCCGTAAAGTGAGTTTTATCCTTTTCCTGTTCTGGCGTTAGGTGTAGTACTTTTTCTTCCGCGTTTGTATGATTTTTCAAGACGTATCGTTGAATATCTAAATTCTCCCAACAAATAAGGGTCTCAACGCTACCTAATTCCAAAGCTCTTAACGTGTCTTCGACGCCGAAGCAATACTTGCCGGTATCTTGAGAAATTTCGTCGAAGTAGCGACCTGATAAAGAGAAAAACCGTTTTATATTAAACACACGTGACATTATACGTCGCAGTCGACGCGTAAACATCTATTTACCGATTAGCTTCTTTTCTTGGATGAACTTTACGTTTTGCAAAGATTCGGCCGCTAACTCAATGGCCTGATTAAAGCCATTTTCACCACCATACGAAACATCCACCAATTTTATGACCTTGGCTTGCAGTCTCTGAAAAAAAAAAAAAATTATATATTGCCGTTTTACAAAAACTGCTATCACAATTCTGCACGGAGAAAAATACATGTATTGTAACTAAAATACCCGATTTGTCGATTTAGATGTCAAAAGAATAATCGTAAAAAGAATAAACTGATAAAAGGAATTGATAGAAAAGAGATTTCACTCACAGGATCAAACATGTCAGATTGACTAAGTTCCGTTTTGAAGTCAGCACTACCCGCCAATATTAAACCAGCAATATTTGGTTTGTCATTAGTGATGTATAACTGGGTAGCCACTTCCGCAACTTTTCGAACATAGTTATGTCGTTTCTCCATTCGTAATCGAGCAAAACGAAGCGCAGATTGACCGCCTCTACCTGAAATCGATACCTTTTATAGCACACACGATACACAACGCGTGACCTATGCCGATGCATGTAAAACTGCGACAGAGACGAACTTTAGCTTTTTTCCATAACAGTTTTCCGATGTGTCACGTACCATGTTTCTTGGGGAGGTCTACGGTAAACTTGTGCAAAACCTCGCGTGTGTTGCCTTGCAGCGTACCAAACAATGCGCCGTTACCATCCATAACAATAAAACCAAATTTATTATCGTCGGCGAGTAACGCTGTGAGCGCTTCCGTGTGAAACTGTAAAGTCGCGCAGCTAGTAGAAAATTCGCACTCGACACGATAAGTAACACGCACATGTTAGCAAATACGAGATTACCACCATGGACTCACCTTATTATCACAAAGATATAAAGAAGTATTGATAGGCTTGAAGGGTTCAAAATCGATGTTAACTTTCTTCTCTTTCCCCTCCTCCGTAACGATAGTTCCGCAATAAATTACCAGGCCATTTGGAGGCACTGAAATATATTAATGTAGAAATTAATTAATACAATGCATCAGCCAATGACAGCCATAATAAGCAACTGAAATATATAAATAATGTACTGTATGCACATTTTACACATAATATCAAGTATCATGATGGAAGGTACAAATGAATACAACAAATATATAAGATAATTAAAATTTAAGTAAAAAATGGATAGAAAATAAACGAATCATATAAATGGAATATAAATGGGATATAAATGGAATATAAATGGAACATAAATAAACATAGCATGAACATAGCATAAGAAATAGAATAAAGCACGACAAACACAGAAGATTAAACAACCATAATGACACAAATGTATAAATAATGTATTATCTACATATTACAAAAAATCAAATGTTGTGTATGTGTGTAATCAAACAGATAAATAGATACAACACATAGAAGAATAAGCTAGAACATAAGTAGGTAAGATAAATAGTAAATAAATAGATCATGTAAATTGAAAATAAATAAATAGAGGATAAATAGAACAGATAAATAAATATGACCTGACAAGTAAATAAGTTTTATATTGTCTAAAAACAGCAAGAAAACTGTATTATGATAAAAAAAATAAAGGAATAAGGAATATTATTCCTAAAATAAGGAATTGAAGAAGATTACCTTTAGTATATAGCTTTAGCCTATGCTGTACTGATGTGATTGCACCCAAGACAGATAATCTATTTACACGAGACTTAATGTTTGACGCAGTACCAAATTCATCCGCCAGCATCTTGCTCACTCTCGATATTTGGTCCTTTGGAGGTATGATTAACGAAATCATGCTCGTGCCATTCCTGCAAAGACAAGACACTTGAAATCTTGAAAAACTCACTTTCTCTCTCTCTCCAAGTAGAATCTTTTAAATCGCACACATTAGAGAGAATTCATACGTTGGCAGAAAGACGGAAGACAATCTGAACTCATAGTCATAAAGTGGTATTTAACAGTTTCTACTTTGCTACCAGCGTAAATTTTGATTGGCTTCTACCTTCCTGTTTTCTGCTTTTTCATTAAAGTGCGAATTTTTCTTTCAGCCTGTTCTATTTAGCTGAACTAACATTGCACAGGAACTTGGTTTCTATTACTTTCAATGCTACGTTATACAAGTATATGGCTGCATTCAGCAGGGAAACTGCTTAGCATCAGGATGTAATCTTAATCCTGACTGAATCTAAGAGCACACACCAATTAGATTCACGAATTTTACAACAGTTGCACAGCAGCTTCCTCTGCTGAACGCAATCACATAGTTGGTTCACTCTAAAGATAAACAGTGCGTCCCAGCTCAATTAAAGAGAACAGACTCACTGTCAAGATGTTCCACTTATGTAAGCCATCGCCTGACTTCGTACACGTTGCACTAGCGAGACCTACATAGCTCGTCTATGACACAAATTCGCGAACAAAACGAAACTGAATAATGGCACGGCAATAGACATTTGTCAGACGTCGCGGAAGAAACGGTCGGTGCGCGAAACAGAGAGGACTCTGCGTTTCGCAACGCGACGGGGGAAAGCGAGCACATGCTCGGCGAAGCCATATGTCAGGACGATCGGCGCGGAGTAACAGCTGATGGCGCGCGGCACGACGACGTCGGCGCCGACCTACTTACCCCCTGGCCATCTCGAGGCTCTTTATGAGCTTCTTGATCTTCCAGATCTCGACATTGCGGTCGGCGGAGGTCTCCTCGTTCGACATCGCTGGTGCGCGTGGGAACGCGTGGTCGCGGCGTTATACGGTCGGTGCTCGGCTGAGGAGATTTATCGCTGTCGCGCGCGCTCTCTCTCTCTCTCTCACCCAGTGGGGGGACGACGACACTGGCGATGAAGTCTGGCAGGATGGCTCCGCGTGTCCACGTCGGAAGCCGGGCTGTGCGAATTCTTCTCTTTCTATCTCGATCTTTCTCTTTCTCTGTGTCCGTCTCTTTCTCTCTCTCTCTCTCTCTCTCTCCCTCTTTCTTTCTGTGTGAGTGAAAACGCTCGGGATTAACGATACGCTGCGGTCATACCGCACCGATCCAGTTCGCACCGGATTATGTCAGCGGAAGAACGTGGTCGACATAGCGGGTCGTCCGAGGGCGGCCGCCCGCCCGTTCTCTCGCCCAATGTCGCACGGCGCGCGCGGGCATTAAAAACCGTAGAGCCGCACGCGCCGTGCGGCCACCTTCGCGGCTCTCTCTCGCAGGCTTTCTCGCACACTCACTTTCGCTGCTGATGATCGTTACGGTGCGGTCGGAGCGCCGATGCGGGAACGACGTCGGCGACGACAACCACGACGACTACACGGCGACGGCGACGACGACGACTACGGCGACGATGGTGACGACCACAGAGCGGCGGTGGGGCCCCTTCAACGGTGACGCTCGTGACACAGCGAGTACCACGCGGCTGTAAGCCTCGGAATGCACACGTCGGCCATGCGATGGCACAGCGAAACGTCAGTACCACGGTGGACGTACCGCACGGTACAAAATGGGAAGCAAAAAGACCTCGAGGCCGCCCAGTCGCGCACACGAGCGCACACGGTCGTGGGTCGCATTCACATTGGCTGGCGTGCTCCCCACGCCTCGGCCACGTTCGCATGAGCCACGACGTCGTTCTCGTGTCACTAGCCGATTTTCCGCGCGTGCAGATACTCAAGGGCAGAGAGAATGGGTGCTTTCCAGTTGCATACACTATGTACACAAAACCAGTTTATTGGTTGCATATTATCTTATAAGATATTTTAGATAATATGTGACCAATAAACTGGTTTTGTGTACGTGTGTGTCAAGATGTGTTAAGCAATTGGAAAACACCCAATCTAGGCCGGTATTCATAGTCGAATCTTATAGGGCTGCGTTCCAAAACTCTACTCAACGGCTAGAGTAGCATTTAATTGACCAATAAGAACAAAGATAACTAGAATTTCTTTATCATGATTGGTCAATTAAATGTACTCTACTCACCGAGTAGAATTTTAGAACGCAACCCAGAGTGGGTTAACCCAGAGCCAGTTGAACACGCTATAAGGAGAGACAAGTGGTCTGTTCTTTTCAGCTGCACTGCTGAACTGATGCAATAAGTTAGGTGAGAAAACATATACTTGTCTCACTTTAACTTATTGCATCAGTTCAGCAGTGCAGCTAAAAAGAACAGACCAAAGGATGGCGTTTTATAGTTTGTCTTTATCTAATAGCATGTTCAACTGGCTCTGGGTTAACCCACTCTGGGTTATTCAGTCTACGTTTATTGGTCGAACAAGTACTTATAAGCTTTATGATTGGCTAATAGAGACTTATGACGTCATTAATTGCTCTCGGAGCGATTAATCCAAGGCCAGTCGAAGGGAGCGTCCCGATTGACCACAGTACGATTGGACACAACCAACTGATGAAAAGAATTATCTAGTGAATTACTAGGTCGAACCAATCATTACAATTTGTGTCCAATTGTATCGTGGTCAATCGGTCCCACCCCCAGTCGAACACACTATAACTTGACTCAACCTTTCTGCTCTTGCGTTCACGCGAACAATACGCTTGTGTGAGGCGTGTAGACATACACTTACACACAGATGGCAATGGTTCGCGCTCTCGCCACACGAGGTCTCCAAACGCAATTCAGGATTTGCCTACTTCTTCTGGGCTGCGTTCCAACTCGACGGGTAAAATAGCATTTAATCGACCAATAAGAGTAAAAATAACTAGGATTTCTTTATCATGATTGGACAATTAAATGTACTCTATCCGTCGAGTAGAGTTTTGGAACGTAGCCCTTAACGGATTACGACCATCATAAACTAACCTGTAAGCGTCAATCATTTGGCGGTTGAAGAGTAGGTGTCCCGTAGTGATTGGTCGTGATACGTACCTTTTTTTATATACAAGTAGTTTATATAAAAGAGAACATGTCGCAGTCCTCTGTAACGGCATATTTCAATGTACGGAATTCGATGATTTGCGGAGTAAGTCCAAAGTTTTGTTGGTCGAGCGAAATCAATCGAGCGGTCAAGCGTGTGATACTGACAAGGATCTTAGGCAAAACATGTCCGACGAGAGCGAAATGGTGTGCCCGGAAGTTATCTTTAGGGACATGACAACTGCGGCGAAAATCATCTGGATAACGACTTGAGATCATCCTGCTCTTGTGTCTTCAATTGCTGACCCAAATTATTGGGTCTTGTCATGGCAGCTTTAAACTTTGATTTTTAATCCTGTTCTTCATGTTGTTCATTGTCAAGATGATCTTCTTAGTTGGAGAGCTTTCTAAGCTCTGGCTAGATAGCTCATTCTCCTTCTCCTCTTCATCATCAGAAGAACTCTTCTTAAGAATCACCAGCTTCTTTGGGCAAAGACTATCCTTCTTCACAAAAGGCACTTATCGTTGGTAAGCCCTATCTTCTGCAAACTCTCCCGGATATCCACCTCATCCCAGATAAAGACTTTATCCTGATGCATATACCTACCATCAGATGCTAGAGAAGCATCGTAATTTCGGTTCAGTATTCAAAAATGAGAAATATGAGTTGGTCCTGACACCCACGATTGATGTAAGTGATGGCAAAAATACCTCTGATAATCTAGATAATACATTGAAATATGTGTCCAACAACAGCATGGGACCTGCAATATTGCTACAGAGAAGACAAAAATTTTACAACACTTTGCTAGGTATTATCTAAGAGAGATTGTCGTACTATGCAAATCTCTTTGAATCTACCATGACTGTGCTTCTGAAAATTATTTTCAATATCTTTATTACAGAGAGAGAGTGAAAGACAAGCACGAGAAATTTTTATTAAACTTGGAGACTCCGATAATTATAGAAAAGGAGAGGATAATGAACTGACACAAAATGTTCAATTTGAATACTTGCAAAGAGATTGAAACAGCAAAGTTACCACAATCACTTTGACAAGCCAGCTAAAAAGGAAGCTATCAAAGATGTTTTTGGTAAGAATGACAAATGTTGCAATAAGTAGAAGTATTATTTGGCAAAAATAAATTTACTCCAGTTTTTGTATGTCACATAATATATAGTGCTAAAAGCGTAGTTTAAGATATCGGAATAACAGGAATTTAAAGTATCTGCGTGAAATTCTACGCAAATGCGCATGTCGTGTGAATACTTGATACGTAGTACAATGCTGTAACGCGATTCCAATTTCGAAAACGTTAAGTGGGACAAAATATTGTACAAGAGACCAATGTGTTCAAATATTTATGAAATTCATTTTTTCATTCGACTTTGATGTTGCAAGATTTTATTGATTGATGAGCACATAACACAGTAATCGGTATAAAAGTACTATTTATATGTAATAATTTAGCAGTTACATACAGTATGCATTCATCTCACTGTTCAACCTGTTCTTTAATTAATAAGTTAACTTTAGAGAATGGATTCAAAATTTCTATTAGGAAAGATCAACTTGTTAGTAGAATATGTAAGCGTTCATTTGTAATTATCGATTAGCGTGAAATGATCATAAAATGTCGACACTGGTGAATTCTATTATACTGATCACTCTTTTCGTCATGTCATTATTTCTTTTCTTTTTTCCAGACAAAGTTAAATCTTTGTTCAACACTGGCTCTCGTATGGAGAAAGCATTGCAAAGACTGGTTGAGGCAAACATGACGTCAAAATCGACTTCTTTGTCTTCCACACAACTTTCAGGACTCTGTGACCCAAACCGCGGACAATAATATTCCGAAAGTTAATATCGCCGTCGTCGACATCCCACCAACCACACCAAGTATACAAGACACCTACATCACGAAAGCATTCAAGGGTACCCTCAAAGCTCTACTCGAGAAAGTAAGTAGACTATGTACCGAATGTGTACCTCTAGAAGTAACACTTAACGTTTGTCGTAACGTACATCTTTCATCGTGCATCTTTTCATGATTCGTGATACTTTAGGTTCGCGCGAGACAGGCGGCTAAAGCGTTAGAGGAGATGACGAGAACACCGAGCGCAGACAAGGAGGCTACTCTATACTCGAAACTCCCGGATTTAACGAAAATACTTCGCAATATTTACGTGGCGGAAAAGAAGGGTGTCCTACCGATGGAAACGGTGATACAACGATTGGATAACTTTTTCAGGACAAAATTAACGCCGAATGAAATGGACGAGCATGTACGGCTGCTGTGTAAGCTATTGCCAACTTGGACTAGTATACATAATGTGCGAAAGATCGATTATTTAAAATTAGACAGGAACGCCGATATTACAAAAGTAATAATAGTCAGACGATTGGAAATTAGGCCAATGACAAACTCAAATGATCTCTATATTTGCATCTAGCATATTAAAGCTTGTTTTAATTATCATTACTTGAAACTTGTTTCAAGTTATTTGAAACGTTACTTGAAACTTATTTCAAATGAGATATTCAGATTTAAATTTAAAGTTAGATGTGAATGTTTTACAAGTATTATGATGCCATGTACATATATCACACACACATACATATGATCCAACTAAAAAAATTTAAATCTAACTTTAAATCTTCCAATTTGAGTATCTCACATGAAATAACTTCTGCATTTGAGGCTTATTGAGATCATCCTGTTTTTATCTTCATTTGCTGATCCAAAATATTGAATTTTGCCATGGCAGCTTTCAAGTAACGATTGTTAATACAGCCCTAAGATTGCATTCTGCATATATAATCTCTATATATAAATGTAAACATTTTTTTTAATTTTGTATGCTTTTGTGTATTTGGATTATATATACTCTACAATTTACAAAGGTGACAGGATAATTGAACTTATACACATTTATGGTTAAGATGTTATCGCCTTTACTTCAATTGAATTCTCTGAGATGCGAAGTTAATCTACAAAAGCACGAGATAAGTCTGATCTCGATGTTTGTCTCGCGTTTATCTTCGAGATTAGGTTTTTTATCACTTATTAACATATCAATTTGTAGATTTATATAGTAAAACGCACATTATAGAATTTTAGTTATATAAGATATAAGAAATATGACTCGCCGTTTAAGTTGTAATACTTGAACAATAGTAATGTAGCACTCAGAATACGTCGAGGAGCAAGACTTATCCAATAGGACAATGAGTCTCAAGTTACTAGGAAACAAATTTTCTCATTGGGCACCAACTAAGTTCCAAAGCTCAGTGAGAATTCTATTATATAGAGTACATTCGGGGAACTCGCTATTAGCGCTATTCAGCGCTACCGTGTCATTCTATCCTTGTATATCTAAGGAGCGATAAAGATAGAACGCGATAGCGTTGGTAGCGTGCTCCCCGAACGCATTCAAAGTCTGCGTTTCCAGTAAAACATCGAATAAAAACAATATCGAAACCGAATATAATTGAATTTTGAAACCTCGAAGGAATAATCGATCCTTCAACAAAAAAATTAGATACCAATTCGTTAACCAATCATCATCTATTTGTAGTCTGAGCAGCGATCATGTAACTTTTTTCTTAGAGCGGAAACATCAAAAATGAAAAGTTTTATGTAAACTCGTAATCACTAAACTCGACGAAGCGTAGAAACGTGAAACTTTTCACGTAAACTTGTTAGACTAATATTACATGTGTCGTACGACAAGTTTTTCTTAGATACGTTTATTGGTTGACGAACAAAAAACCTAAAGATACTCTACTCGCCAACCAATAAACCTATCCGAAAAGCTTGTCGTACGACACATGTAATATCAGCCTTATGCAAGATTCACATTGCGTCCGATGTCCGACGTACGACGTCCGATATCCAATAAAAGAATAGCTTTCTAATGGAGAATTGAATTTTATATTAGAAAGCTGTTCTCCTATTGGATATCGGACGTCGTACGTCGGACATCGGACGCGGTGTGAATCCTACATTAGCCATGAAATGTGCTGGCGGAAATCTAGTGACATGATGAATACGGAATGTATTATATGCTACTGCTGTGATGAGATACAGGAAACATAATAGTTCTAAAGCCTGTATCAGACTATAGATTAGGTTGAGATTGAATTGAAATTTAGCCAATCAGAGCAAAATTCACTAAGCTCAAGTTTGATGAATTTTGCTTTGATTGGCCAATTTTCAATTCAATCTTAATCCGTAGTCTGATACGGGCTTAAGGTTATATGTTCTACATCCGCTGGATACAGCTGATTTGGCCGGTATTGGGCGCGTTCCGTTACACGCTCGCAATGCTCGCGAGGTCCTTACTGTTAGATCCCTAACTTTAGACCAATTACATTGACTAATTATTCAACCGTTGTGTAACCGTTGTGTCTCCTGAACGCACCCATTGTCGATATTAAGATTATCTAATAGAAAGTTACTATTTAGTACGCGTATCAAGTGCACGATGTAAACCAAGTCATTCTATCTTCGTTTGACATCCATGAGCAACAAAGATAGAATAACGTTCGCGAGCGTTGCGAGCGTATAACGGAACGCGCCCATTGAAATCATATAGGAACCATGTTTAGTGATTTGTGTTTTTCACGCATAGTTATTTGATTGCGTGAACAATGAAAAAGTTCACATGAAATCGATAGAGCGGAAAATTAAAAGTTCTGCTCGAAGTTATGTGATTGCTGCCCTGGATTGAGTTATCTTTCGCTGCGTATCGCGTTGAATGTTTCGGCCTAAAGGCCATCACACACAAAATTCCGTAAGAACTTAAAACGTAAGTGTAAAGAAATCGACCAATCCCAATCGAGCACTCGGCTCTTCGTAACCCCTCCATTATTACGAAGAGCCGAATATTTGATTGGGATTGGTCGATTTCCTTACGCTTACGATTTAAGTTCTTACGGAATTTTGTGTGTGATGGCCTTAACCGCAGTTACGTTGAGACGAAAAGGCAACCAAGGAAACAGAGGTCTGTTCTTTTGCTCTGCACTGCTGCAATGAGTTAGAGTGAGACAAATATATATTTGTCTTACTCTAACTTATTGCACCTGTGCAGCAGTGCAAAGCGAAAGAACAGACCACAGATCTGAAACCATAGAGAGAGAGAGAAAGAGAGAGTACGTTGAGAGGTCGAACACTTTCGGACCAGATTGTTTTGGAATTCGTACCTCGGTATCTTGGATGAAAAGACAATAGAGATAAGTCTGAGTTCAAGTAAAATAATAAGAGACAAGAGTATCACGTTGAATTGGTTTGGACCATATCATAATTTTGTCAAAGTTTGGTGCGTTGTATAGCACTTATTGAATTATTTATTCACAATATATTGCGTACAGACAATCTCTTGAACCACGCAATCGAGGATAATCTTCGACACTATGTTATTAACGAACGTATTACTGAAACCTAAGAGCAAGTAAGTAAGTACGACAATATGTAAAACAGCTGATCAAAAGTTTGAGGTTAGGATATGAATCGTATAATCGTGGGATTATTTAATACAAATAATTATAGATATTTGTAAAAAAAGTTGTGTAATTTCTTTTGAGAACGTCAATAAGATCATATCCAATGTGTTATTAATAAGTGTCTATTGTTATTGCAGAAATATCATGGTCTTAGTAGAAAGTGTTGTAACTGGTCACAAGATAATACGTATACGAGAGAGGATAGCTGATAAACTTGAATTCTTACATTTTGATCCTTACGGTAAGTAGTTAACATATATTGCCACTTACAATTGCAAATTTACTTTTCACATGGACTGATATTGAATTTGCTGTTATCAATGCAAGTACCTCTAAAGGTAGCTTACAAGCTTTTTAACTTTCAGAAGCACTTTTATTGATAATAAAGTTCTGAATAGCAGTCATAGAATACAAAAGAGAAAATTGATTGTTTTAATTATATTTTTTTCAATTACAAATAATACATAATACAATAATTTTTAATAATTTTTTTTAATAAACAGAGGATATGATGCATATTGGATTTAATTTTTCTTTACAGTTCAATGCAAAGTTCTTTATAGAGAACTAAAGAGAATACGTAGCATGAAGTAGTATGTACATCTAGTTTTTACTATAACATATAAGCAAAATATAAAAGATAAAAATACAAGATGGACTAAGAATGCTTACCCAGCTTGAAATATAAAGCAACACAACCTTTATCCTGAGTAACACTGAGTAATCCTGAGTAACAATGGATATTGTGTTTTTGAGTGCAGTATCCAATAAGTGAGTACTTCCCAATTTAAATAACAATAATATCATGTCCTCATATGTATATTTGATATAAAATTATTTATTTTATTTATATGTGTGGAACTATTATTAATAAGAGTTTATATAATTATTAATAAGAGTTATAATTTTTCTTTGTTTTTTCATGATTCTTGAATATTCATTATATGGGGTGATAAAAGATGTGCACATTTTTTATTGTCGATTACATTAAATGATAAAATCATAGCTGTTTTTATTAAGTAGTTGTATTATGTAACTATTTTAAAAGATAAAAATATAGAATAAAGTCAGGATTTTCTAGCAAAAATTAAGTGTTGAAACTACTGATGTAGTTTTGTATTATTATCAATATTATGAGTAAAAAAATATTCATATTATTTATTATATATTTTATGTGGTGACACAAACAAACGTATGTCTGTTGAAAAACGTATTAACTGGCAAAGGCGCAATTGTTTGACAACACGCTAAGTTCAGCATTAGGTCTGGTTTACAATAGATGTCGTAAACCGTAAGAATTGACTAATCATAACCGGTTATTTTTTATAATAATCAACTGTGATTGGTCAATTTTTATGACTTACGATACCTATTGTAGACTAAGTCTTAAGACGTTAAGTGTTTCTTCGATAAGAAAGAAAAAAAGAAAGAAAAGTGAAATATTCTATTGATCCCACTTGGCGTATCATTACCGAAAGCTGTCAAATAATAAAGCGCACAGTGGGCAAACGCTTTGCGTAAGTTTCATGCCGGTTGCGCGGGACAGAAGGAGAAAGAGAGGCGAGGCAAGAATCGGAGAGACCAGCCAAGAGTCTCGACATCGAGATTGGGGTAGGTTTCCTTTGATCCTTAACAAGGAACACAAAGTTGTATTATTTCCACCTGGGTTTCAAACGGTTCGGAATCTGCCAGGCGTGAAACACGATCCGCTCTCTCTCTCCATCTCGCGCCCGCTTCGTTTCATCGTCCTTCGCCTCGTTCCGGGGACTCCTTTTTCCTGTTCTCTGTCTCCCTTTCTCCCCTTTGCCCTTATTTTCTCTCTCTCTCTTTCTGTTTTTCACTCCTTTTCGATTGCGGTGCGGGAGCGGCGACGCTACGCAGTTTACTGATGTTGCAAATTCAATTTCTCTCTCTCTTTCTCCGGGTCGGGCCATTGTCCAGAGGAAAGGGGGAGAAACCGCAGAAGGGGTTGCGTTCCCGGAGAGAGAGAATCGTCTCTCTATCTTTCGCGATTGTGCGCGTGACAGCTCGTGAGATCCGGAATCTTCCCTGCTTCTTTTCTCCCCTTCCCCCTCTCTCTCTCTCTCTCTCTCTCTCTCTCTCTCTCCCCCCCTCCCCACTTTTTTCTCTTTCTTTTTTCGAAGAAAAGACTTCCTGACTTCCTCCTGGGCGCGCACGCATGCTAACTTGTAATTGCGAGCCGAATTTTTGGTCGCACAAGGAAGCGACCACGCAAGCTTTAACTCATTTATTGTCGATCGCGCGAGCCATCTTTGCAGTTTAACACTTGGCTGATTTGTTACAAATTCTCTCCGAAAAAAAAGCAGTTTACTGCACTTCATATGAATCTGCGACCGAAATACAAGTACTAATACCTAAAAACTAGTAACACTAGTACCTTGCACTGAATATTCTTATTATTTTGGTCTTTATAAACACAAGTATTTAAACTTCAAATATAGAATATACACACACATATATGTCTATATGTAGTGTAAGTTTAAATATTTACATTTAAAGAAACAATAAAAATATCTAGAGTTAGGTACCTAGTATTATTGTGTGTGTATGGTACCTTTTTCTTGTCCCATAGGCCAGCTACCGATTGGTCATTCAGCGCATCGTTAATTAAATAGGGTATTTAAAGAAGCAACTGTAATTATATCACATTATGTAAGCGTATAAAGGAACAAGCGCAAATCGACTCGGTTATTCATCCGGTAACCTGCGACTCGTTGGCGGTGGTGCTTGACTCGCGCTCGCTACGTGAAATTCTCGCTTCGTGAGTGAAACAACCCCCAATCGGCGCTAACAGAGAAGAAAAAGAAAAAGAGGGAGAGAAAGAGAGAGAAAGGGAGAAAAATCAGGAGAGACTGCGGGAAACTGTACTGTAGGGAAATCACGAGAGAAAGAGTGAAGTAAACGGAAGCGAGAGGAGTTTGGGTGGCGATGATGGTGGTGGTTTCTCAGAGTGCGTTTCAGTTGCCTCGTGTTCGAGGGCGTTTTTTCGCGTCCGCGAGTTGTTAACAGTGTGCGTGGTGGGCGTGCAAGCCCGCTAAAGTGGCCTCGCTGCTAATTAACTGCGTTATTTTTTTACAACTCTACTGCCGCGTTTCCTTCCATCATAGCCCCTCTCTCCCGCGCCGGTCCTCTTCCCCCTTCACCTCTTCTCTAACTCTCGTTCTCTCTCTTTATCTTTCTCTCTCTCTCTCTCTCTCTCTCTCTCTCTCTCTCTCTCTCTCTTTTTCTTTTTCTTTCGCTTCATCCAGAGTCTCACGCGGCACCCGCAATGGGGTTCAATATTTTCCGCGGGCTTCCGTTTTATATTTATCCGTCCGCTTTTATGCCCCAACGAAGGAGACGCGACGGCATGTATTACTCGCGAGGCTCGATAATTCCACGGTTTTCAATGCGATCGTGACCTCCTTACTTTTGGGAGGACAAAAAGAAGAGTTCGGGAAAAATTGCTTATTTATGAGTCGGAAGATTTCAATACTTGCGACGTAAGCGTAACGATAAGTGCGAATATCGTCCTAATGTCAAGATGTTCTTTTTTGAAAATTGGAGTTTTTATACTTTAGGCAATATATATATATATATATATATATATTTATTAAGAATATATAAACTGGATTTTTGAGTGACACATACACAAGCAATTTTGTGCTTGTCAAGTAAAATTTTGTATTTTATTTAATTTTGTACGTCGTTATTTTTATATAAATTTTATTAATTTTATGAAACAATATATATGTGCGTGGTTCTAATCTATGATATTTTGCTATTTTTTGCGTACATTGTTTCAACTGGAACATAAAAACTTTTGCTCTAAGCACGAGAAAAAAATATTTTTAATTTATATATTCTCATATTCATATTTATAATATTGGATTATGTAATAATTTCAGATTTTTTACGCAAAATAAAACTATTATTACTCCTTTTATTCTAACAATCAATAAACAAAAGTGACAAAATAAATTGATTTGACAAGATAAGGAGGAAATGTAAGTTAAAAAGAAAGATTGCATGTCACGTTAATTTTACGGTTACTTATTAACTGTTAGAGTAAAAGGAAAATGTGCGGAATATTTTAGAGCTATTTTTGAGTGTATGGATATCTAAAAGTATAGCTGCCAGTAGGGATATATTTAGCTACTGTCGAAACCGACGTAGTGGCAACTGTAGAAAAAGTCTGGATTACGGCAGCAAATTTTCACAGTTGCAGCAACAAATGTATCTTTTCTTCCTCTTCTTTTTCGTGCATATCTTCTCGCATGGAGAAGCGAGCGTGCGACGCGTCGCGTCACGTCACGTCGCGTGTTCAGATTCAAGTCACATTTTTCGCAGCATCCGCTCCAGACGTGCGAAGCTGAGGGAATCTCGCGGACGCGAGATACACGAATCGACCTATAACTCTAAAACCTTAATACGCGTCGTGTCGGATTCGCATCGCGCGAGATCGGTTGGTGTGGCGGCAATGGTGGCGGCGGCGGCGAGATAGCGAACGATAGCGACGGGGTAAGGTGAAGGAGATGGCAATGGTATAGAGGTATCTCTCTGTGCCGAGGCAGACGCGGCGCGGCACCCTTCTTTTCTCCGCCACGAAAAGGCACTTGAAATAAATTGAAAATGGCTGGTATCGCTCTGGCCCCCGGATAAGTGATACCTACATCATCTACACGCGCACCAGTCGCCCCCTCCCCCCTCGGCCCCTCCCGCCTCTCCCGTTGGCCCCTGCTCGCCCCCGCCGTGCCCAGCTCTCCTCCCTTCCAGCAATCCACCCCCTCCGCGCGGCGTTCTTTCATGAATTCGAAACGCGCGTTCGACTCGGATCGGAATCCGGTCGAGTCGCTTCAATTAATTCAATCGAGAGGGTTGGGGTGGGTGGGAGAGGAGGAGGAGAAGAGGGAGGAAAAGAGGAGGAGGGATAAATAGCGCGTGTTACGCTTCGGGGAAGTTTATGCGCGCGAGCGTTAAGGCCTCTTTATAATCGCGAGCGTTGACGCCGGCCTCGTCAACTCACGTTGTTTGACATTTGCGATGTGTCACGGTGGCAAGGGGAATGTTCAGTGTGTCAAGAATCCGTCGCGATTGATACGAAACAAAATACGCGATCGACGCGGCTTACCTGCGTTCGCGAAGCGGTCGTCACCCTCTTCGTTATCTTTCGCTAATTTTCGTCCTGTTTCACTCCTTTTTTTTCTACGCATAAACTTCCCATCCCCGCGACTGGGAATAATGTCGCCATGCAGCGGACGCCGAAATTCGCCGTTTTGCGCGATATTTCGCGGGTAGGCGCGCGTTAATGCAGGAGCGCATAAACGAGGGCGCGGCACACGAACATACCACCCATACCCACACACACACGAACACACACACACACACACGAACACATATTCTCACGTATACACCCTCGACGACGGCTCACGTACGCGCGTGCACGTAGCAGTAAGCCAAGGCACACACGAGCGACAAGGTGTATTGAATCGACGAGTATCATGCAGCTGACAGCTAGAGCTAATTGAATCTTGACTCTATCTATCTGTCGACCCGAGGCTGAGACTCGACCGCCACCGCCGACGCCGCCACGAATTGCATTTCCCGTTCGGCGGTATCGCTCTCGCGCCCCCGAAGAATTCTATCCTTCCCACATCTCTCTCGCTTCCCACCCACCCACCTTCCTACGTTTCTTCTTTCCTTC